ATTCCCTGACGCCGGTTTTCCCGGGATTCTGGTCTTTTCCCGCTTTTCCCTGATCCTGGGATTTCCGGGCCATTCCCTGACACCGGTTTTCCCGGGATTCCCGGGCTATTCCCGCCATTCCCTGACACCGGTTTTCCCGGGATTCCCGGTCTTTTCCCCCTTTTCCAGGCCTGGCCTAATTCCAGGATTTTCCAGGCCTGGCTTGACGCCCGTTTTCCCGGGATTCCCGGGCTATTCCCTCTTTTCCCTGACTCCCGTTTTCCCGGGATTCCCGGGCTATTCCCGCCATTCCCTGACGCCCGTTTTCCCGGGATTCCTGGGCTATTCCCGCCATTCCCTGACGCCCGTTTTCCCGGGATTCCCGGGCTATTCCCACTTTTCCCTGACGCCTGTTTTCCCGGGATTCCCGGGCTATTCCCGCCATTCCCTGACGCCGGTTTTCCCGGGATCCCGGTCTTTTCCCGCTTTTCCCTGATCCTGGGATTTCCGGGCCATTCCCTGACACCGGTTTTCCCGGGATTCCCGGTCTTTTCCCGCCATTCCCTGACACCCGTTTTCCCGGGATTCCCGGGCTATTCCCGCCATTCCCTGACGCCTGTTTTCCCGGGATTCCCGGGCTATTCCCGCCATTCCCTGACGCCGGTTTTCCCGGGATTTCTGGGCTTTTCCCGCCATTCCCTGACGCCGGTTTTCCCGGGATTCCGGTCTTTTCCCGCTTTTCCAGGCCTGGCCTACATCTGCGAGGGGCTGCGGGAGCAGCGCCGGGGGCTGGTGACGTTGGTGCTCTGGAACAACCAGCTCAGCCACGCCGGCATGGCCTACCTGGCCATGACCCTGGTGAGAATTCCCGTTTTCCCGGCGTTCCCGGCGTTCCCGGCGTTCCCGGCGCCGCCGTCCGGGGGACACCTCGCCCTCCTTGCCGCTCGTTCCTGGATTTCCGGGGTTTTCCCTGTGGTTTTCCGGGGGTTTTCTTCGGTTTTCTGGTGGTTTTCCGGGGGTTTTCCGGGGGTTTTCCTTCCGTTTCCCATGGGAAACCCATTCCATGGGATGGGGTTGGGAATGTTGGGATGGGCTTGGGGAAGGTTGGGTTGTTGGGTTTTGGGATTTTCCTTGGGTTTTCCATGGATTTCCATTGATTTCCATGGATTTCCATGGATTTTTCCTTGGGTTTTCCATGGGTTTTCCATGGATTTTCCTTGGGTTTTCCATGGGTTTTCCATTGATTCTCCATTGATTTCCATGGATTTTCCTTGGGTTTCTGTTGGTTTCCATGGGTTTCCATTGTTTTTCCATCGATTTCCATGGATTTTTCCTTGGGTTGTCCATGGATTTTTCCTTGGGTTTTCCATTGTTTTCCATGGATTTCCATTGTTTTTCCATCGATTTCCATGGATTTTTCCTTGGGTTTTCCATGGGTTTTTCCTTGGGTTTTCCATGGGTTTTCCATGGATTTCCATGGATTTTCCTTGGGTTTTCCATGGGTTTTCCATTGATTCTCCATTGATTTCCATGGATTTTCCTTGGGTTTCCATTGTTTTTCCCCCTGGATCCCCACATATTCCCCGTTTTTTCCCCCTGTATCCCCACGGGTTCCCCCTGTTTTTCCCCCCGGATCCCCCCAGATTTTCCTTGTTTTTTTCCCCCATATCCCCACATATTCCCCCTGTTTTTCCCCGTGGATCCCCACGGATTCTCCCTGTTTTTCCCTGTTTTCCCCCTGTTTTCCCCCACGGATCCCCACCGATTCCCCCTGTTTTTCCCCCTGTATCCCCCTGTTTTCCCCCTGTTTTCCCCCCCATATCCCCACAGATTCCCCCTGTTTTCCCCGCGGATCCCCACGGATTCTCCCTGTTTTTTCCCTATTTTCCCCCGCGGATCCCCACGGATTCCCCCTGTTTTTTCCCT